TTTATGAGGCGTACAAAATATAGATACAAGCTGTGGCACTGGAAGTGCAGTCTTGGCACTTAAAGCAGGAATATCATATTATATTATATCATATTACATTACATTACATTACATTACATTCAAACCCTTTCTGAATAAGTTCACTCAATGGTGACAGCCAAACTTCATCCCATTTCTCAGTATAGATGAGTTTTAAATCTGACACTTGTGCAGTGTTTATGCAAATCCGAGATTAAAGTAACAGAGAKTGTAGAAAAGACAATGGAGAAGTATTCAAGAGAAGTTTTGTGCACTTGTTTACATTTTTGATAATATAATAAAGTTATACAGTCAACATATTAATTCCAGTGAGCATGTCAGAACCTTTGTCCAGTTTTACTTTCATTACGAAATGAACTTATTATGGAGGTTTAACAAAAAGAAAAATATGTTGCAAATGATTAAGTACATAAAACTTTTCAGAACTGAGTCAATTCTAAATGCAGCAATCAAACTCCACACTACACGATAATAAATGCAGTGATAACCAGGACAGTGGAAGCACAAGCACAAACAGATTGTGTAATGATCCTCTTTGCCACAAGGGGGAGACAAAGCTCCTCATAAGTTAAGCTACTGTGCAAATACGCAACATCAAATACTCACTTAAGACCACATTGTACTCCATTGTTCCAGCCAGCTGAGGACCTGAATCGATCATCTTATCAATGGCTTTCTTCTCTGCTGGAGAACAAACCTGCAACAACAAGCAGAAGATATAATATTAGAGCAAATGTGGATATAACAGCTTAAAAAAATGTCTAAAATTACCTGAAATAACAGCTATTCTGCACTCTTTGTGGTGTAAAAAGATACTATATTATGTATGTAAACTGTTTGTTATTTTATATATTTATTTTATTTGCTGTGTTTTCTATGTGACAAATCAATTAATTCCTAAGAGAAACTCTGGTGTGAAGTTGCTCAAAGGAAGGGAGTTTGTGTATAAATTTTCTTGAAAGCTCGCAAAAAAAAAAAAAAAAACCTCCAAACTTCTCATCCAGTTTATATATGAAAACTATGGGCACATTTTCCAGGCCATTAATATATATAAACTCTTTTATTTTAGTTGCCTCTTCAGATGAATGTGAGATAATTWAAAGGTATAAATGGGAATTTTGTCGTACCTTAATGTCTTCCTCAGTGATGTAGCCAGTTTGTGCCACCCACCACGGCTCCACAGAAATCTCCACCGGTTTGGCCGGTAGCAGGTCCCGGGCCGATTTCCTGCGGAAGAATTTCTGAGGAAGGGAACAAAAGTAATAATTAATCAGTCACTGTGAAATTAACAACAGCTAGTTTATGCAAATAATCCCAAATAATTGGATAAATTGGAATTTTAAGTCTGTTTATATCAGATTCCAGTTTTCCATCCAGTGACTAAAATAAAATGATGATTTTTAAGCCTTTATTTTAGTTATTATTTATATAGTTAATGATCAATATATGACAGCATTAGTGTATCAAAATTAAAAACAATTTAATTCCTCACTCAATCTACCATTTTATCCTTTGTTAYGACTAATTTGCACTTGGAACAAACATTGTTCAGCATGTAAAACCACATCATAAAGTTAAACTGAAATAAAACAACAAAAAAATAAAAACAGTTAAGCAYATCTTACTTTGGAGGACCTGCACTGGTTCATAAGGTCAATGTACTGGTTTCTCCCAATGCCAAGCAGCCTCAGACCTGTGGATTGAATGGAAATAAAAACATTAAGAAAACTTTTATTTCTCCAACTAGTCATGAACAGCAAATGAATCTCAGGTAAACATTTATGGTGARCAAAGGTATTTGTTGCTTACATACAAAACATTTCTTATAGTTTTGTATGTTTATTTTAATTATTGGCAGTTCYTGTTACATTTTATCATTTTTAACTCATTATTTGAACAAAATAATACTCATTCTATTTAAATTTTTATTGTTTCTGAGTTGTTTCTGACTCACATTTTTGCTTTTTATAAGGTTTAGAATTTTCATGTTTTTTATGTAAATTGATTGCTTCTTTTCATTTTTGAGCTGAGGAGAGACAGAAGAAGGCATCTCAGTTACTGATACGGGTMATATAAATTATGAATGCTCCATGTAAACCAAGCCAGCACTTGCATTAGCTGCAGTCCTCCCTCTCACCCCTTGTCTCTAATAAACCCACAATAATTCATCCAATTGCTTTAACGTCCTTTGTCTTTTCCAGGTTGCAGGAAAGTTGTTGCCCAGGTCCAACAGCCGACGTACCAGAGGTGAGGTAAACTCTGGACAGATACCCGCAACGACAGTCAAATTTAAAGTTTGTGGTCAACTGCTGCTAATCCATCTTTGAAGGAAATTATTTTCTGCAACACATTTTAATAACCTGATAAAATTCTAGCCCATAAAGCAAAGGTTAAATACTATCTTTGATGTAAATTCTACCTTATTCCCACCTCTAGCAAGTGCATCAACTATTAGGAGCAAATCAAAATGTGTTGGGGTGAACGCCAACAGGAACAAGCGATGTACTCAGCTCCTCCTAACGCATCGCGAGCGTCCTGTTGTTTCACCGAGACACAACACAACAAACATCCACCCACGTGAAACTCTCCGATGCRCACTCCCTTTCCTTCTGCGGCACAAAACATGTCCAAAGCTCCTCCAGGGAGATTAGCGGGGATGGAAGCCCCTCTGAGAGTGGCTACGACAGCCCGCTGGCTGCCTTCTGTCTCCGCAGCATGAAGGTTCTGTACAGCACGGGCTCTACGCCAAAGCCTGGCTCACTTGACAACAAAGTGTACTAGGACTCTTAAACTGAAGAAAATCAAAAAAAAAGCGCCTAATTGGATTTCTCACATCTCAGAAATTGTTTTACATATTGGCACAGCGGTTAAAAGTGTTTCAACTTTATTAGCGGTTTTAAAAAACATGAGTTTCACATTATTACGCTGTTATAATCAGTTATATTATCAGTTTGTGACACAAGCTGACAAATGTAACAGGAAGTCCATACGGGTACACTAAACTTAGCATGTGACCTTTTCAACTCTTCGCACGCAATTTTTTTTTGAGCTACAAATAAATGTGCTTTTCCAATCTGTGTTTACTACCAGACTTGTGACGTAACTGGGGCACATTCAAAGTGTTTACAGCACAACAGAGGATCTAATAAGTCATGGGAAAAATGTTGTTGATAGAGTATTTCGAAACTAATGACAGCACTGCACTTTCAGACACTTTCCCATGGACTCACTTTAGAAAGCTCAACTTAATTTAACTCTGATTTCATTAAGGGTTTTGAGAACAAATTCAGAAGCAACACAACATTTCATGACTCTTTGAGTAGATAAAACTTTGCATAAAACCTTTACCTTGCAACACCACCAGTCAAAAGAGCAAAGCATGAAAGAAAATGTGTTTTTTGGCAAACAAGTCCAGAGTAAAATAATGTCAACACTGCATGAATAAATAAAAATAAAACAGAAACTCACAGTCAGCAGCAGTGAAGTTGGGCAAGGAGTCATAACTCTTCTCACTGTTCATTATATCCTAGATGTGCAAAAAAAGAGAGAGAGAGAGCGAGAGGACAACAAGAGAAAAGATTAATTAAACTTTTTCCCTCTTCTTCCTGTATCCACAGCCACTGATTAATAACTGGATGATCAGATTTAGGCAGCCGTGCTAAATTTTACTCCCCGCTTTCATGAAATTTTTAGAACAGATTAACAGAATGTGACATTGCCCTGGGCAACTTAGTAAATTTAATCTCAGCGGAGTTTAGTGTAGCATGTAGGGGAAAGAAGAGGATGTGTTGTTTGTGAGYTGAGTCTTTAACAGAACACAGAGCAGGTTTGTTCAAAATAAAATAGGAAATACTGCACAGAGTAATATAAACAGACTGGTGAGGTAGTGGAAACACTTGGAACATTCCCACAGAAAAACATGTGCAACTAAATAAAAGGTGTATTAGTTTGGTAAAATTTGTATGTTTTATTTTAGTCTTTGCAATCTAATAAAAAACCTTCAGAAGTCGAGGAGAACTGGGCTGATTGTCRTAGCTGACAGATTGATTCTCTGGTAGCACCACTTCATCAACAAACTAGGCTTTATTTGTGAGTGGGAGCCGTCATGCGGACAAAGGCTAAAGTGACTGCAGTGACTGCAGAACAAGAAGTGGAGATTTTCCCACTAGGATCAGTCATCTGTGTCTGCCTGAGCTGCTGCGTGAGATTTTACAAGACACTGACTGACACCTAGTGTCCACCTGAAGTCTGTCAATAAATGTTATAAAATCTAAACACCTGTGAATTACATTGTTTTCAAGAGAAAACAATTAAAAATAGAGTTAACTTAAAGTACCTGTGACATACAATTATAAAAGGTTAAAAAAACAGTGTTTATATTTAAGAAACTTGGCATTAAGACACATTATTTTACCCATTTTGTCACATACCTGGCATAGTTTCTTTTGAATTTTATCAGCCAAAGTGAAACAGGAAGTGACATCAAATGGGAACTCTTTAACAAAGAAAACTTTCTGGTCTTTGTTTATTGAAATAATATTATCTGACCTCTGACTCTTCTTCAGCTCTCTGAAAGTGAGCCAAAATAATCCAAAGAAGCATCAGATTCTTCTCTACAGTCTGTGTTGTTAGCATTGTAGCAATGTTCTGTTCACATGTACACATTCCCCTTTGTCATCACTTCCTGTTACTTCACATGTGAATATCTCAACAACCGTTCATCTCAGTGGCATGAAATGTCKTTTACAACATGTTGTTCATGTTATCTTTCCAAAATTGCATTCATATTTATTACAAAAATTTGATGTCATTAGCACTTTAAAACACCAATATAAGAAAAACAGGCATAACTTTATGTGAGATTTAGAGAAATTATTTAGCTTTATTAAGCCTCTACCCTCTGGGGCCGGAAGCATACTGTTCTCTGGCTGTATGTGTGTTAGTACGGCATCCAGCTGTCACAGACGGTTTTGTGTGCACAACATCTCCTGAATGAAATTATATATTTACTTATAAAGAGGCATAGTAACTCCATCAGTCTGATTAGATTTGGGCATCAATGGGTCAATGTAATTTATAAAGATTGGTAATAAGAAACTGGCATTTTTTTTCTAATTTATCGACAGCACAACAAGAATACCTGGTTTAAAAAAAGGGAAACAAAAGATTATTTTATCTGGTACAACCCAAGACTGAATTTCATCAACCTGCTAAATTATATTAATTAGWTGTGCTTCTAAGGCAGGCAGACGCATACCAATGAGTTCCACCATAACAGAAGGGTGTCATAAAAACATTACATTTTCTTTGTTTTTTATTTGCTTTTAAAAATACAAAAATCTAAAACTTTAAGCCAATTAGTTTGTTGCTTTTCTTGTAATTTTGTTTGGCCTATTGTACTAAAAGCTGTGACAAAACAAAAKATGTTTCAGCGTAAGAAAAGCTGCCCAGAGACAACAGAATAATCATCTTGTCCTCAGGGTCATTTGCTCACCTCCATGATTCCTATGTAATAAGAGAACGGAGTGACTCGTAGCCCTTTGACCATAATGTCCGACAGGTGGTACGGGTACAGCATCAGGTGGTCCCGGCTGTATTTCAGCAGCTCCTCATAATACTTGCGCTCATCCTTCCTGACATGGCGAACTGATAATTAAAACACAGACAGCAGTCAGGTCACAGCCAGAGGGCGAAGGTTCATAAAGAAACGCTTTCAGATGATCCATATCTGATCAATACAACTCACTTATCAAGACCACAAGAGAGGAAGCATTATTGACTACTTTAAATGTATGTTTAAGAGCTACTTAACAGGTGATACAAAATATAATATATCTATAATAAGTTGAAACATCTTTTTTATCATTATAATTGAAGAAACATCAGACAAACTGGTTTATCACCAGTGTGAAGGATAAACTCGCTCACCTAGGTTATTGCGGAATCGCAGCTGGTTGCGGATGCTGTACAGAAGCACATGTTTCTCATACTCACGCTGTGAGTTCCCCAAACTCTGCAAAGAGAACAAAAGCAAAAMAAATAATAATAATCGGAGGATTAATGAAAGGATTACATCACAAGACAGCCATCTTTCCTCCTACTGACTGTGCAGTGTGCACCAATCTTCTGTGCTGAATTGTGTCCTGGTCTCAGACACACTGCGATATAATTTAATTCCTGTGCTTTTAGATACATAGAGATAGAAAAAAGTATTTCAAAGTGGTTTATAAGTAAAAAAAAAAATAAAAATAGAATAACCCTGAATTACTTGTAAAAAAAAATGCAATGTTTTCAAATAATAATAGAAGGGATGCACTATTTTAATAAAACCGACCGAATGGTAAGAGTGRGTTTTGTACTAAAACTCTGAGCTTAACTTCAAAACACAACATTAAATGTAAAAGGAAAGAAAAGCTATCCTGATATGATTCGTGTGCACAATGTCAAACACTCGTAAGTTTTGAGAATAAAAGCAAGATAAACAGAAAGCCTTAATCGTGGATCTCTTCTTTACAAAATCGAATGTTACCCATACTTAATAGGGACGCACAATATATTGTAGTATCACAATTTATTCTCTATTCCAGTTCAATTCATGCATTGCAATATTTACATTGACACTGTGATAATGATACTGATTATGTTGATACACATTATGATTTCACATAATGACACTGGGCGGGAATCTAGATTACACAAAAGATGTGAGCGCTGTGGTGAAAGAACAAAAATAGAGGAATGAGGGAAACTGGGGGTTTATCATCGACATTATCATTAAATTAGGTACAGACCAGATTGGCAGGTGCACAGGTGCTCACACTGAACGGTGATGTGCAGGTGGTGCTCCGTCGACAGCAAAAGCAGGATAAAAACAATGGAAAGACAGGCTACACACCAAGATTTAAGGTAAAAAGTAAAAGGTCCTTTAATAAAAGAATGGACCAGCCATTAAATGAGTTGCCTACCGGCTCGGTGACTATCGCACCTTCAACAGGGCAAATATCATAATGGACAGCAGAAAAGGTCAAAGAAAAGGTTTACAAGACAGTAGTGAGAACAGCTGAGTTGTATGGTTCTGAGACAGTGGTACAGAGAAAAAGATGGGAGGCAGCACTGGAAGTAGAAGAAATGAAGATGTTGAGGTTCTCCTTGGGAGCGACGAGGATGGAGAGGATTAGGGATGAGATCATCAGAAGTACAACTCAGGTTGGACAACTCGGAGACCAGACTGAGACAATTTGGACATGTCCAAAGGAGACAGTGAGTATATTGGTTGAAGGATCGGTGTGTGAACGTGTATGAATGGGTGAATGACTGCAGTGTAAAGGGCTTTGGGGTCTCTATAGGGCTTGATAAAGCGCTACATCAGTTCAGTCCATTTACCAAGGATGTTAGAGATGCAGCTGCCAGGAAAAAGATAAAGAGGAGAGATGCGGATGCAGTTAAGACATGGTGGAGCGAGGACAGAGTGAGGTGGAGGAGAAAGACTCGCTGTGATGACACCTGAAGAGGGAACAGATGAAGATGGCCATGGCAATATTTAACAATAATATTGCAACTGTTTTCCGATTACTAAACCACAAAAACTGACAGTGCACGGATTGCAGTTTCCTGGCTGACATTTGTTTTGGGAAGGAAAACAAAGGTGAATCCTCATCATTTATCCGCTGACACAAGCATCAGGCCTTGAGTTTTCCCATTTTAAGAGGATAAATGTGACAAACACACACACACTTCATTACGACATGCAGCATTTCTGCAGTAGGGATTAAGGAATGTGTGCATGTAAAAAAAAAAACAACCTTTATATAATTGCTGGATGGTGCAATGACAAAAACATTATATATGGAGGAGTGGATGCTGTAATGTATGCTGCAGAAGTTAAGCTGGATGCATAGATGGATGTATGGATGGATGGATGTATGTATGGATGGATGGATGGATGATGGTGGTGGAAGCCCCTGCAGAGACACAAACAGCTGCCTGAATCAATGACACACACACACAGCACCACGGGGACACCGCTCCGTTCTCCTTCCACCCACCCTCAGCCACTGACCGAGCCCCGGAGCAAAGGTTTAAAACACTGTACCTGTTTGACATTAGCTGGGAGCTTGTTCCACGGGTAATTCTGCCTGATGTGAAATTCCACGTCCGTGTTCATCGCTAGCTAGCTAGCAGGCTAGCTGTATAGCAGAATCCTTCGAGTCGATCGGGGGGGGGAAAAAGCGGACTCTCGGGCGAGTCCACGGTGACTTCAGCTCCCCCGACACCCGACAAACATGCGGAGCGACCCTCCCCTCCAGGTCAGAGGAGATGCTTTTATTTTTTGCCCCCGGTAATTGTTTTTATTCTACAATAAACGATCACTTCCTTGTTGTATTTTCGAAAGAGGCGTTCGTCACGCTCGTGGCTACATCCGTCACTTCCGGTTGACGCGTGACTGTTGAGCTGAATGGACCTTTAGGCGACGGTGTGGTGTTATAAAAAACAATAGATGTCATGTAAAATGACATTTATCTTTAAAAATACAGTTATTTGTTTGACATGTTGTAAGCATGCTGTCTGGTGTTCTTGATAAAACTTCAGGGGCAATGGTCAAAAATTAAATGGCCCCTAGCAAGCTAGATAATTGGGCAAAAAAGCAACAAAATGTTTTAAAAAATTAAGAATAAATTATGAAGCTGTAACAACTGGCAGTAGTGGATCACATGGAGCTCTGCCTAACAGTCTAAACTTCACAATCGTGGGAACAAGTACTTTGCAATGTGTTCATAAACATCCTGAGTTGTGAAATACTGAGATTTTTCATGCAGCATAGAGTTTTGCCCATAAGGGCTTCCTATGTGATCGTTTTACATGTAGCTCTAAACTTCATAGGAAGCTGTTGTAGGGAGGCTGACCCAGGAGAAATGTGATCACTCAGAGTTTTGAATTGGCTCTTTTTATCGCACTAATACAGCATCCTGCTGGAACAAATCCACTAGATTTAATGAAAAACACATTTTATGTTATTTATAAAGGAAAAGGGGAAAATGAGAAATTAGTGGATATTTCAAGCAGAGAATGTAGGAATGGTTCATTTAACATCAGAGTCATGAATGCTCATATATAGCGACAGCATGATTCAGAGAGCTGTTTTCGTAGTTTTTAATACCATTGTTGCACATTTCTCAGGAGGAATGGAACAAGTGGTGAGATCAAGCTGTTGTTTTTGTTGTTTTTCAATCCTATTTTCCTTTTGACTTGTATTCAAGACACAAAGAGATAAAATCTTGTAAGTCTGCAGGGTTCTGAGATGTTTGAAGATCAAAACATCTCTCAGTTTTAGTTGCAGTGCGTGCAAATCAAAGTTTGCAGTCTATTTTCAAGCTGGGGGATTAGTAAGTGGCAGTATGCAAGGCTCTGTGAAATCACTTAAAGCGCTTCTTAAATAGTGTGCAGTTTTTAAACAYGTCTGATTTGAGATCAGAAGTTTGTCATTGTTTAGCAACATAATACAGCAGTTTTAAAAAAAACCTACAATTTTAAGCCAGTTATTTTTTCCACGAGTCTCCAGGAAACACCATAATCTGCAAGCATAAAGCTGTCACTTAGTAACGTGTCAGTGTTGGGTTTCACTGTGTGACAAAGTCCACCAAAGCACCACATGCTGTCATGTCAGGATGTGCCAACAGCTCAACTTCTTGTTGCTGTTAGTCAATCTGCCAACATGAAACTCAGGTTCCTGGTCATATGATGCTAAACAAACCCGACAATAATTCATCTGGCTGCCATGGAAGCTGATTGCAGTGCAGAAAGAAGGAGGTGACACTGTGATGGATTATAGACAATTTATAAATAACTGTTGGAAAAAGGAGGTTTATTTATCTCTAGAAAGAAAAAAAAGTGCAATCATGACCCAAAAAGAGGAATTGTTTTAACGCATTGTTCAATTTTGCCTGAAAAAGGTTCTTGGTGTTTGATCCAGATTTCATTGTCATTTTTGTAAAAGGACTAATTCTTCAAAAGACAAAAGTTACAACATATAAATAAATAAATGACTACAGCAATTTAAAAAAGGAGATAACTAGGTCAAATATCGTAAATTAYGTTAAGAACAATCTCATGCAACGTTCCTAATGCTCAGACTAGAGAAAGTGCAGACATTATTTAACAAAATTTCAGTAAAGATACTGCACAATGTGTAGAGCTTGGAGTTTATGTTAGTACTCACTCTCAGCTACTACCAYGACAAATTTTAGCCTMTTATCTGTAAAACTGTCTGAGTTCTAGTCATTTTTTAGTTGACTTAACTCTGTTAGTTATGGCTGCCATCTTGAATTGGATAACTCCAAAACTTTATCAGTTGAAGACGTACATCCAGTGACTGTGAGAGTTTAAAGATTAAAATCTTTTAAGTCTTTTATGAGATGTTTTGCTAACATGACAAATAAATGAACACATGCACACAAAAACAGRCCCTGACCTGTAAGAGKGGGACATTGGACAYGGRKGCCTCACCCACGTTTAATGACAKATGGTTTCTTTTCMCAAAATTGGYCTATTTTACTCCKCTCTCAAACAAATGTTCCTCTCTAACAATTATGAGAACATCTTCATCCCTGAAAGAGAGTCCTGGCCTGATGATGTTGCTCTTCTGTGCTGGGCCATCCTTTTSAACAGTGGCTGCTTTGTTTCAACAAAGAACGGTCCAGATGACCTACTCAATTATTTTTTTAGATTTTTCTACCATGGAATATTGATATGCATCAGGACGTAAAAACTGTTAAACTTGCTATGTTTTACTCTTTTCTTCTGTATTTTACCTCCATAAACCCAAACTTTTGYAWTGCATGCATTTTTGTCCACATAYGTGGCACCAGGTCCTRGGAGGGTAAACAAAAASRAGACATTTTTGTTGTGATTTGTTGGTTTCTGATTTATCTCTGGGACACTTTAGCCACTCTGCATCAAGAACTGCCTAAAACAAGTTTAATACATATTTTTTAAGTTAAATGCTTTAAATTGGCAACAAAAAGACTATCTTTGAACTAAACTCTTAGTCATAGTGTATGTATGAGAGATCAGATTTCTCTGCAAYATAAAGACAATGAAAAGTAATGAAAACATGTCATTTTCAGTTGTGCACATTTGAGAAAAGCCTTCCATGCTGTTGGAAACTGTGCTTCCAGCTGTTTGGCCTGATCAGCTCGTTCCATCAGCACTGATCTATATTTGCCTCYACTCTGGGTGACTCACACTGAGGAAGAGGAGGAGGAGGAGGAGAGACTCAAAGAGCAGAGGAAGATGGACAAAGGTTTGCAGCTTGGGGAGATACTCTAATTAAGTTCCAGCCTGGGTGGGCATGCACGATGTCTGATTCAGGCCCCTGTGATGGTCCTTGTTGTAAACGCTCCCTCTGCTGGACCCTGGCAGGGCCGAGGAGCCCTGTGGTCACATGAGAGGCCCGGCGGAGTCACAGCRAGCCAGGACGCTATTCTTAGACGAAGGAATGTACACAGCAGCCTCATGGCAATCTCCACAACACCTAACGGGAAAACTTTGTCAGTTCTATGACATTTTGCTTCTCCGATGCATGCCTGGATCATGCTTTTATTCTTTTTTCATTGTTTTAATTATTTTCCCACCAGCTGACCACACACTGTGGGTAATACTGAGTGTCTGAGGGCAGGAGGTAAGAATTTATTGGATCCAAAATAAGTTCAGCTGACAGAAATTACAGCTTTTAATTTTTCAGAGCGTTTGTGGTGTGTTTCAGCAGCAGATTTTTGCACATAAACCTTCAACTGCTTTCTTTTTCATTGTTGATATGAGGTTTTTTAGTGTTGCTTACATTTTCATTAGCAAGCTTATTTTTGTCTAAATGATAAATTCATAACAAAGATGATAGTTTCAATTTATAGTAATAAATTGCCTAAAAATGTGAATATTTGAATTAGTTTGTAGAATTACTCAAGTGTTCAAATGGCTTAGTTTAATTGAAACATTTTCATATGGTTTAGAAATGGTATTTATATTGAAAATCTGGCTCTCCAGCAGTAGTCTGGGCTAAAAACGCCTGCTGGGAGATGTCACTCTCAGCCGCTCGCATTTAATAATACTCAATAATAATTAGGTGTCCAAATATGTCAGGCAGGCCTGGCCCCTTAAGTGGGAGCGAATCAAGTGTTTTACTCAGAGATGTTGCTAATAGTCCAATGAAATTCATGCGGGATCATCCCCTGTCACCCCCTCTCCCGCCCCGCCTCCCCCAACARAGGAGAACATGAAGATGAAAGAAGAAAAACACGACATGTTTAAAATGGCAGCAGAGATTTGTGATGGAGAAATCGGTCCAGAGGGAGGGATTCAGAGTRACGAAGAGAAGAACTCTGTTAACCCTGCCAAGTGACGGGCGGCTCGATGACAGATGTGGCCCCGTGGTGGACGGGTGTATCCGGATCATTTAGAGAGGGTTTGAAATAGAAAATAGAAAGTCTGTGAATCATTTTAGGACAGCTGCAGTCAGTTATAAGAAACACTGGTTCTCAAGCTTTAGCAGATATAAATGCACATGGTGCTTTTGTCTACGCTGTCGTCTACCTCTTCCTAATAATTTCCCTCTCTTCCTTTTTTTCTGCAGGATGGCTGTCAGGCGACAGGATATTTTCTTTTTTAAAGACTCAGAGCTTCCCTGCCACCTGCTCGGTCAGCTCAACATCCTGCGGCAGGAGCGCATCCTGACTGACGTGCTGCTCTGCACCGAGCACCAGGAGATCCCCTGCCACAGGAACGTCCTGGTGTCCAGCAGCCCGTACTTCCGCGCCATGTTCTGCAACAACTTCCTGGAGAGCAGCCAGGCCCGCGTGAGCCTGAAGGGAATCTCTCCCAACGTGCTCGCCGGCATCGTGGACTATGTCTACACGGGCTGCATCACCATCACCATGGAGATCGTGCTCCCGCTCATGCAGGCGGCGTCCATGCTTCACTACGGAGGTCTCTTTGAGGCCTGCTCCATGTTCCTCCAGGACCAGTTGAGTCCTGAGAACTGCCTGAGCATGATCCGGCTCTCTGAGATCCTGCACTGTGAGAGTCTGAGAGACCGGGCRAAGGAGCTGGCCGTCCGGTGTTTCTCTGACGTCGCCGCCACCGAGGATTTCTGTGAGCTGTCTCTCCCCGAGCTCATGTGCTACCTGGAGGATGACCGTCTTTGTGCTGAAGAGGAGCAAGTGTTTGAAACCCTCCTGGCGTGGATCCACCATGACCCGTTCTCGCGGAGCGGCGCCATCCACGATCTCTTCAAGAAAGTGCGTCTGCGCTTCATCCATCCAACCTACCTCTTCCAGTTTATCGCCAACGACCCGTTGGTGCAGTCCTCCACCCTTTGCACGGAGATAATCGAGTCGGTGCGTCGCCTCATGCTCACAGCCAGCACAAAATGTAGCCGCGAACTGAAGCCCCTCTGGACCACGCCTAGACGTTACACTTGCAGAGAAACGCTGGTGGTTGTGGGAGGACGCAAAAACAATGAGCAGACGTCACGAGAAGCTCTGCTGTACGACGAAAGGACTCATCGTTGGCAGTGGTTGGCCAAGCTTCCTCTGCGCCTGTACAAAGCGGCGTACGTGTGCATTCACAGCATCCTGTACGTCCTTGGGGGACTCAGCCTCTGCATGGCTTCAGGTGACAGCTCAGTCAGTGCCACGGTTTACACGCTCTCCCTCAAAACCAACCAGTGGAGGACCGCCGAGCCCATGCTGGAGCCGCGATTCGCCCACCAAAGCGTGTCCTTTCTGCACTTCATCTTTGTTCTAGGAGGGATCGGGGTAGACAAGCACATCTCTCCATCAGTGGAGAGGTACAACAGCATGTTTAATCAGTGGGAGGCCATGGCGCCAATGCCCACAGCTGTGCTTCATCCAGCTGTTGCAGCCAGCGATCAAAGGATCTATGTTTTTGGAGGGGAGGACGCCATGCAAAACCCAGTGAGGCTCATTCAGGTAAAGACCATTCCCATGAGCGAGCAGGAAGTTTGAACCTAAAGATATGCATGCTGGTGAACTGTTGCATGAGTAAATTAACAAGTGGGATCTCAGATTGTCTGTTGATGTTTGTGTTGTGATGCAGGTGTATCACATTTCTCGCAACCTCTGGTCCAGGCYGGAGACGAGAACAGTGAAAAATGTTTGTGCTCCGGCTGCTGTCATAGAGGACAAGATCTACATCATAGGAGGTGGGAACACTCTATTATCTCCTGAGACTGTTTCAATAAAATCATACTACCAAAGGTTTAATGTTGTCTCAAGCAATTACAATTATTTTTCAGGTCATAGGTTTCACTCTTTTGTAAATTAATATTAAGACACTACTAAACRAAGTTGTGGTGTCAGAGTCCTTCTACAATGAGGAACCAAAATAAAGCCTAAATCCAGCTGTGCTTTGTGTTAAAGGGRCTTTATTTAGAACAGTACAAGGAAAAAAGTTGTGTTTTTCAAAGAATRTTTGCTTTCCAGGTTATACCCGAAGAATGATTGCATATGACACCAAAGCCAACAAGTTTGTGAAGTGTGAAAACCTGAAGGAGCGAAGGATGCACCACAGTGCTACTGTCATCAACAACAAGCTCTACGTCACCGGTGGACGCATCCTCAACGGCCATGATGTCATCGAGGACTCGGACTGTTTCGAGTGCTACGACCCAAAAACAGACGTTTGGACTTCGAAAGGTTCTCTGCCRTACAAGCTGTTTGACCACGGCTCTCTGCCACTCGTCTGTGTCTCCAACAGGCCCAACCCACCGTGACCCACAACTCGATCAGCCACTTTGGAGCCGAAGCTTCGGGGTGCGTTCTCCACCTCGTCTTTGCTTTGACATGTTGGTTTTCACCCACATCAGCAGAGAACCATTTCAGACTGAAGCTCAGTCTCTCAGCGGCATGTTTGCTCCCGCTGACCTTTGTTTGGATCAAACAGGAGCCTGTAGAGGTGTCAGCACTTTGGAATCTGAAGTGGGAATGTCACAGATAACGAGAGGTAGTTTTCAAAGCTCTCTGCACTGACGTCTGCCCTCGTTTGATGCCAGGTGTTGAAGCACTCATTTCCCAGACATTTACACRAAGCATATCACTCTGTATGGCAGCTCCAATTTTCTTGTCCTTTTTGTGATTAGTTACACATAAAGGGAGATATAWCTGAGCTCAGTTTGTATTGTAAAACTGATCATTTGCACTTCTTATAAATAGTTGTAAATAACATTCCTTCTGATCAGAGTGCACTCAGTGATGGGAAAAGTCATCACAGAGCATAAATGAGCTTCTACAGTGTTAATAAAAGTACCTGTCATCTGTCAGGTCTGATAAAATGCTGCGGAGAGCAACAGAGTTACTCTAACAGAACAAACTGGGCCAAAGGTATTCAGGTTTTAGGGTTTTATTTATGTTTTTGTGCAGAATTGTTTGAACAGTGTGTTCAGAAATCAAATAAACAAGTTAAATCAAAGCAGCTTGGTATAGGCAGTATAGGCAATTGCTRAGGGCACCGTCCATCTAGGGGGCGCTGTAGAATAATCACTGGTTGCTAGAGTTTTTTTTCTTTTGATGTAACTTGTTCTGTGGGTTTCTCAACTTGCTTTGTTCCTGCACGAGGATATTTTGTGATAAAAGTATCATATAGGAAGGATTTGTTCAAATTGGATGCCCAAATAATATGCAGAAACCCGATTAAGTTCACAGTTAAATGTTTGTTTTCAGTTCTAAAGATCAAAACCCTGGTCAAACCCCCTGGGGTTAGTTCCTCTTATGTCAACATTAGAATGCCGTAAATTATTGCTGGAGTGAGAGAYTTGTTGATTCTCTTACTTTTAAAGTAAATAACTAAAACCAATCRCAAAGTATAAGATATGTGACAATATCTAAAATAAAGTTAATCAAACAGAAAATATCTATCAGTTCCCTCTCTTGACATAACACAAATTATGTCAATATGATGCAGTCAAAACTACTGATGCTTAGTGTGTAGAAAACAAAATAAGGACAATGGAAGTTTTAGTTATAATCTCAGATAAAGTCTGGTTTTCAGTGYTCTACCTTCATAAAATACTGATTTTAAGTTGTTTTATTAATCCAAAGAGTTTAGTAAAATGCTCCTCACTGGCTGAAAAWTTTTGAGTAGATATTTTACAAAAYTTTCCAGGGAARTRTACCCCTGGTTCCCCCTAGAACTGCTTCTCTCCACAGCTGCGTGTTAACACGAACAGGTGTTCCTCATTGCTGCAGCAGATGTTGGCAGGTATGAGGTAGACTTCTGGTATTCTGTTTCAAATAAATTATATTAACTATTTTAACTGGAAAATCTGGTTTACAGAGATRAACAATATSAAAGACAAAACTGTTTAATTTGATGTATGAATGTATATACTGTAAATTGGCTGAGAGATTTAGAAAACTGCACAAGGGGCACCACCTAGGGCAMYAAATTGTCTAGGRCCAGCCCTGAGTTAAAGGTAGAACATTTCTTTAAGGAATGCATATTGCCCSCCRMCCTGYAAATGATGTTATGTGCATTAGTGACCTGCTTACTRCATACAGATGAGCAGATAATCTTCATCCTGCAGCATGAATTCAAAACCGTAACATTTCAATGACTATCTTTAACTGACGTTCTTTCATTCATCCTTTCCTAAAATGTACTATACTTTGTTATAAAACATCTAAATTCTGCTTGATATGATTCTTTTATRCCTACTGAGTCATTTTCTCCACACRTAAGAATGTTATTGATGCAGACACACCAACACATTTGCTCTCCACACACTTCCGCTAACGTGCATTATATTTAACTCGTGCGTGATGTTATGAGAATGCAGGGAATATGCTGCTTTGTGTTTCAGCCTGACTGACAGGACGACCTCTTGACCTAGCTGCATGTGTGCTTCTTTAAACGGGGGTGTCTGGTATGAGGAGCCCCCCACATGCAGAGGCTAAATATCCGGTTACCAGAGGCCTCCCTGAGGGAGTTTAAACGGGAGAATATCCAGGGATCCAATTTCCCTTTTTAATCTACGTCCATTAGTGTGGGACCTGAAAGCAGAAAGCAATGTATGGAGTTTCTGGTAACAGGCGATGACTAAACAAAATGTTATCAGGGGTTCACACTGTTTGGACTGATCAACCCTGAACATTTCGTTTGACACAGACTGGTTTGTGTGATTCCTTGTTGGACGTCAGGTGCTGGGATGAGTCACTCACAGCAGCGTTTAGGCTGAGCTGCTGCAGAACACACAGCCTGTTCGGGACATTTAATGACCGGGTGTTTGCTTCACTGCCTTTCAATAGAAACCAGTGTGTGAGGGTCACCCTTCAGGGAAGCTGTGACCACGCAGGTTATTTTCAGTGTCTGTTACTAGCTGAGCTAAGGATGGATTTTCATTTGCCTATTCTGTGTGTGGGGGACCAGATATGAACACAGAACACATATATAAACCTGTAACGTTTACTCTATGTATTGTTTGTAAGAAAATAATTTTCCATGAATTTTTAAGATTATATATTATTAAATTGATTGTTCTGAACTGTAAATGATGGGAAATATAGTTTGTTTAAAAAAAAACAATGTTTTGAAATTGTTCCACTATTTTTAGATGCTTTTTTTCAGATTTAACCTCACTAAAATGCTTTTTTTAAATAGATATTTAATTGATCTGTTGCCAATTTACCTACTTTTTACAAAATGCACTTCATTTTATCCAGTCCTATCTTTTTTAAGTGTTGCTGCCATTAAGTTCAAAATTGCCTTGTTTTTCCCTAAAAACTATACAAAAATGATTTTTACTGTTAGGCACATTCCACCAGGTGTTTGTTGTTACTTTAATTGCCAAATGCACCTTTTACCATTTTTATTGTTCCCACTTTAGTAAATGATTTCTGGCAATTATTTAYTTCATTTGTTGTTTTTAAAACCCATTAAATGATTTATTTTTAGGATTTTTTTWAAGTGTATGATTTGTTCAGGATAATATCCTTAATTTGCATCCTTATTTTTACTTAGTTCCCAATAAAAACTGGCAATTTGTTTAATAATTAAATGCTTGTTTAAAAAAACAGTATGTATTTGCCCCTGCTTAGAGGTTCAAATAGTGAGATTTCTAACTTTAGTCGATAAAATGTAAAGTGTTTAAATAAAAATCAATTAAATGGGACTGGATGCTGTAAACTAATAATTTACGACAGACTTTAACTTGTGCCTCTCTCGCCCTCTACTGTCTAAAAATAGTTTTACAAACACAATAAATCATCTCATTTAGATTTAAAAATATGTACAGTATATATA